GTGAAGCACCTGCCCGAGCAGCCGGTGACCAACCAGCTGACAAAGCAGTGCTTCCTGCCCAAGGGCATGAAGACGGACGGGATGATCTTTCCCAACCTTGTCACTGGATTCGATCGCAATCCGCAGCATGCTGCCCGGGCCGCCCTCTACACGCGTTATACTAGCAACGAGTGGTACAACAATAACATGACGAAGTACTCCGAGTCCAACATGAACCGGTAAGTGACCTCTCACTTCCTCCCTAATAGCTCTCCTCTCGTTATTGGCGTTTCAGGGCGTTAGAGTGGGCGTGGCACTTGGCTGAAGCAAACATGGGGTTCATAGGCACTAGTATAATCTATATGAAACATTTTAACTCTCTAGCTTTCAAAGAGAGGTTTTAATTTCCCAAACTGGCACCACATAGCGATAACATCTTAATTGCGCATAACTTTTTAAAGAATGGTCCGATTATAACATTTTTCGGCTTGATAAATGGATATAAATAATCAAAACAAAATCTCATTTACACTTTCAACATTTTTGCGTTGGCAAGCTTAGAATCCAAACTTGAAACCCCAAGTCTCTAGCTCTTATATATAGTTTCCAAGATCATAGTGGTCAATCGGACAGATTGACGGACACGGCTAGATCGACTCGGCTAGTGATCCTAATCAAGAATGTATACACTCGAAACCGCTTCCTTCTACGTGTTACGTACTTTCCCCAGATGCAATATACCCTTCAACTTTACTAGTAACGGGCTTAAAAATTATGATCAAGAGTATTTCTTCCTGAAATGTTATTTTCCCCTTTGCTTTAGCAACTTGTCCGAGCGCATGCGCAACGACGCGGTGCGTCTGATGCGGGAGACGGATGAGAAGGCGACCTCGGGCCAAAGGGACGCCGGTCGAAGGCTGGGTGAACGGATCACCGACCTGACGTTCTGGCGCAACGAGCTGAACGCGGAGCTGGAAAAGCTTATCGCCGAGATGTCAGACATCAATGAGCTACAGCGGCAGTGCGGCAAGGCGCTCCTCGACTTGGAGATCCCCTTGCACATCGCCCAGGAGTGCCTCTTCCACCGGGAGTCGCGCCAGGGCACCGAGAAGGTGCACGACATCGTTGAGAAGGCACTTCTCGTGGAGATCAACAACCTGAGGAACTCCCGCGACCGTCTGGGCGGCCTGCATGAGAAGATTTCGAAGCAGGCGCTCGACTGCCGCGGCGCCCAGCATCTGCTCGAGGACGACGTGGCTCACAAGGAGTCCTCGCTGGGCATCGACTCCATGTGCCACCAGCTGAACAACCACAGCCGCGGCATAACCTACTACGGCGGCATCGAAAAATTTGATCCCTCGGTCAGCACCCAGGAGTCGTGGGCCCAGGCTAGCAGCGAGCACGTCCGTCGGTGAGTTTAATTTAATGGGTATATGGTAGTCGACTAACGCGTTCTTTTGTTTTTTGTGAAGAGCCATTAAAGCTTCGAACTTGAACGGATTAACTTATTTTTAGGTTTATATTTATTATTTATTAAAGTAAATTTATAAATTATTAAATGTTAAAAAAATTACTTTTCGATGAACAGCTTCAAAGTTACACAAAAAAAGATACGCCAAGGGTAGTAACGATACCGGACAAACAAGTGTTAGGAGTTCAAGTGAAAAACACACTTTTAATGAATGTAATTTTTGTATGAACTGAAACAATTAACAATTATTGAAAAACGATTCCAATTGCTTTAGTTCATGCACTAGTGACACATTTGCTAAACATATGATATGAAAGAGATCGGTCAAGTCGTTTTTGAGATACTGCCGGGCAATTCTTCTCAGGGCTGTATCTTTTGAACGACAATAACTGTTGTTAAATCCTTGTAAACCACATGTTTTACAAAAGTTATTATTTTTTAAAACCGAGACAGTTGAGACCCCCTTAAAGCCATGTTTCCTTATGTCTACGATGTTTGTATTGTCCACTTTGACTTGCCATTCTTATCGTAAACCTTTCATATCCGTCTCTGCAGCTCCCAGGCGGAGCGGGCGAAGCTCTCCCAGCTGCGCAGCGATGCCCAGAGCGTGGTTAACTCGGTGGCCACCACCGTGTGGGACTTCTGGAGCAACACCAACAACGCCTTTGATCGGCGCTCGCAGGAGATGGCCGAGGCAAAGAACCGGGTCCAGTTGCACCTGCAGAAGGTGCAGCAGGAGCTGTTCGACATGGAGAAGCACCTCTTCCTGCTCCAGAAGGCCATTCAGGACAAGTCCGGGCCGCTCAAGGTGGCTCAAACGCGGCTGGAGGCCCGGTCCCACCGGGAGGGCGTCGAGCTGTGCAAAGACCATGCGCAGGACCGCCTCGTTCAGGAGGTACAGGATATCCAGGGCGCCGTAGAGACGCTGCACCACAAGCTGCAGGAGGCGGAGGCCACGCACCAGGGTCTCCTAAAGACGCGCTGCACCCTGGAGGTGGATCTGAGGAACAAGGTCAACGCGCTGTTTATCGACCGGGAGAAGTGCATGAGTCTAAGGCGCTCCTTCCCGGTCAGCAATCTTATCAAGTACTGATTCAGTTCCGGCCTCCAGATTCAGGCCTCCCATTGCACCGGAGCACTCGCTTTTCACGCCACCTATGTCGTAGCCAGGACACAGTAAGTTGGTATCTGTGTGCCCACTCCAGAAAGCAAACCGTTTTCTTTCGGGAGCTTAGTAAATCTTTTACTGGCAAAAAAATAAAACCTTAAAAAAATTTGCATTGCATTTTAATATTTATCTGGAGAGATTTATTAATTCGCTTCAAGATAAAACAAGAGAGAACGCTGTAGTCCTTGCCATCGACTATTAAATACCCGTTACTCAGCTAAGGGGAGCGCGAGGGAGATGGAGATGTGCCAGCAGCAAAGTGGCTATTCCTATTATTGCACACTTTATTTGCTTATAACTTTTTAACGAATGGTTCGATTTGAATGTATGTAGTTGGACATTGATAATCAAAAAAAAAGGAATATATATATATATATATATATATACATATATATATATATACATAAGTGCAAGACGATCTAGTTATGGGCGTTTCTGTAGGCGTGTCACAACTTGTGAACTACTAAAGCTACAGTCTGTGCTGTATGTCGTTGGAAATGTATTTTTATACCCGTTACTCGTAGAGTAAAAGGGTATACTAGATTCGTCGGAAAGTATGTAACAGGCAGAAGGAAGCGTTTCCGACCCCATAAAGTATATATATTCTTGATCAGGATCACTAGTCGAGTCGATCTAGCCATGTCCGTCTGTCCGTCTGTCTGTCCGGATGAACGCTGAGATCTCGGAAACTGTGGGAGCTAGGCTATTGAGATTTGACGTGCAGATTCCAGAGCTTCTTACGCAGCGCAAGTTTGTTTCAGCAGAGTGCCACGCCCACTCTAACGCCCACAAACCGCCCAAAACTGTGGCTCCTACACTTTTGATGCTAGAATAAAAATCGATTGACCCAAAAAAAAGTTTGCCACGCCCACTTTAACGCCCACAAACCGCGAAAACCTGTGACACCCACAATTTTCATGCTAGATAAAAAATTGTATTTGTATTGGTCTCGGCAATACCTATCGATTGATCGAAAAAAATTTGCCACGCCCACTCTAACGTCCATAACGCTTAATTCTGTATACCGCCGGTAGGTGGCGCATTTTAATCTCGCTTTGCTGCTTGCATATCTCTATTTAGCTGAGTAACGGGTATCTGATAGTCGAGGTACTCGACTATAGCGTTCTTCCTTGTTAAATACTGTGTACGCCTTAATAACATGATTTGTCTAAATACCATCGTTTAAAAATTATGGGCAAAAGTTATCTTTTCCGATTTTTTAGCTGTTTTCGATTTATCAAAAACGGTTCTAACGATTTCAGTTTAAACTTTAGACTGTAATGAGCAAATTTAAGAAACAAGCTAATTTATTTAGTCGAATGTTTAATAATTTTTCATTACAAAATTTTATATCAGTAGTTTTGTATGTTAAAGGTGCGATCGTCACGACCCTTTACCTCGGAAAGAGGTGTTTTTGCTTGATATCACTGTGGACGGCAGTCCACGTAGTCACGAAGAGCACCATGAGAGTGTGCAAAGTCGACTACTATATATAGTCGCAGAATTGAAAATCTACAGTGATGGTCTGATCATAACGATTGATGCACATATCGAAAGGTATTGCAAAAATTAAAAAGATTGCCTACCAAGACTTTAATAATTTCGGTTGGCTTAGAAAGAAATGCGGTGGAAGTGTAAAAAATTTAAAACATTTGAGCTTGTTGGGCTGGTGGGAATAACTGGTTATTAGCCAAGTTTTATTCTTACTGAGAATACGAGGGAATACGCGAATGACACCTAATTTGTTAAAATCCGATAAATCAAAAGTTATTCCGCTAGTTTGGCGGGAAATCCAAAAATATAGCTAAATTTTAAGGGCCTATAGTTTCTACACAACTAGTGCTACAGATACGTTCTATGTGTCGCTGAAAATATAATATAATTAGCTAATAACGCCCTCTTTACTGAAATTGTCTTAACACAATAGATTTAAAGTTATAGCTAAAAAAAATTTAAAACCACTTTTTGGCTATTTTCTCGAAATTGGTTTATAATAAATTTGTAAAAGCCGGAAACATTATGTACATATGTTGAATTTCCGATGTCCAACTACACACACTTTATTTAAATTCCTAAAAAAAATGTTTCTATAATTCAGTACCAAAGCAACCAAGTGATCGTGGCCTTGCCAATGGAAATACATACATATATTGATTTTAAGGCCATTACAATAGCTCAGATATGAGTATTACAGCAAAAGTGAACATAGCTCCTATTTAATAATGGATTTCTAAAACATAAACATCTGATATCAAATAAAAACACCTCTTCACAAGGTACATTTTATTTGTTTAAATATGTCTAGACTTAAGGTTTGAGTCGGTGCTAAGAGGCTAGTCAAGTCTTCCTCCGTCAAGTGTATTTAAGTACCCTACTAACAGCGTTGCCATACAGCCCAGTGCCAGCTGATTTTTAACTAGTTTTCATTATCAAACGCAAAAGCGAAAAGAATGTCGAAATTCCTGTCCCAAACGGTTTTGAATACGCTTCGTAACACGCGCATTGGCCCGCGTCAGCTGTAAGTGCTTCATGGGAGACTACGACAACTAGGATGATCCATTTTCCGCTCTTTCCAGGGTGCGCAGTTTTGCGGGCATCGCCTCCACGCGTAACAACGCGGAGCCGGCCCAACTGAATGGACAGGCTCTAGGACGTGGTCTCTTGCAGAAGCAGCTGCCGCTGTCGGGCAGGAGGAGCATGTTCATCCAGACGCAGGACACCCCGAACCCGGACAGCCTCAAGTTCCTGCCCGGCGTGGATGTCCTGGGAAAGGGCAACACCTACGACTTCCCCAACGGAACCACAGCACACAGCAGTCCTTTGGGTGAGTGGAGATCCCGGTGATACTCTCGAAGGGGTGCTCACTCCCGAAGTTCTCGATGTACCCCGGTTTCCAAGCCATTTACATGAAGAAGTTACATGCCGGTCAGACATGGTTGTCTTGTAATTGCTTTTCAAAGTTGAGGGTGAGGGTTTTCCTGTCGAAATCAATATGGCTTTTATATAATTTACCGTAAAAGTACATACATATACACAATGGCATAAGCAACTGCCCATCGCAACTCTTAATATTAGCAGAGTTACATATTTGATGTTAAGGTCAAAGACTAAAGTTTGGGATGACACCAATGGTAACACACCAATGCTTTTGGTTTAGCTCGATCTAGTTTACGCATTCCTTCCTTTTCTCATTTTTAGGGAAATTAAATGGTACCCATTACTTTTAGAGTAAAAACAAAAAGTATACATACAAGTCCGTCCGTATTAACGATGAAATCTGGGAAACTACAAAGGCTAGAATGTTTGGATTAAGCATACAGATTCTAGGCGGTCTGCTTTATCCTAGTGCTACGCTGATATAATGTTGTTCCTGCGCGCTAATTTTTTAGTCTAACTTGAAATTGTTTTTATCTTTTTATACAAGCACACAAATAACATTTATAATGCTACGGCACTAAGATTTTATTTAATTTCCGTGCTAATAAATTTGTATGTTACCATACAACATTCCCGAAAACAACGGGTATGCGTTGCGACACAGCGAGGCATTTCGTATTAACTTCGACAGGAAACTTATTCACTAGTTTACATGTAAAACCCTTATAAATATGATTTATAACATATCGTTTTAGAAAGATATGCCCCTTTAAAGTTTAAAAATGTTTGGCTCTCAAAGATACTACTCAAAAACTAGGTATCGAATCATCTTACTCTTTGATTCCACAATGTACAATGGTACATACTATAAGTGGGTAGTTAATTACTAAAGGTGACACTTACCTGAACCAAACTAGTAAAAACAAAATTTCCGACGAAATGAATGGACCAAGCCAATCATTCTTCTTCTTCTCACTCCTTTGAACAGGAATAAAGTATAACAGAAACACCGACTTGGAGAACGCCGGATGCAGGCTAAGAACACTAGATTCCCATCTAGAAAGAGAGGGCAATCTGTAATATCTCTTTCTATTTCTTTTTCGATAATTTTCGTCAGCAGACTTTGCTAGAAGATAATAATAAAGAGGCTGTCTGCAATATCAGAATTTAACTTTAAATCAAAATCCTGACACAATTCCTAGATGCACAATACGTTATTTAAACCTCCGTCTAAAACTGGAGTTATTTTTTATTCGTTTTTTCGCAGTTTATTTGTTATAAAATATTTAATTTTTAAAAACACCTAAAAATGTAAAAAAAAAGATAAAATCAGACCAATTTAAACCCGTAATTGTTTGTTATTTTACCTAATTTCTCAATATGATAGTCGAAGCACTCGACTATAGCGTTTTTAAATTTAATTATAACTGAATGTGCTTTAATCAATCCCCAGCCAAATTGCTGTTCCGCGTGGAAGGCGTGCGAGGCGTGTTCTTTGGTGCCGATTTCGTCACCATCTCGAAACAGGAGGGTGCCGAGTGGAGCCTAATTAAGCCTGAGGTGTTTGCCGTCATAATGGATTTCTTTGCTAGTGGCTTGCCCGTCCTTCAGAACGCCGAGCCCAATGCGGACACCGAAATCCTCGAAGACGACGACGAGACGGTCATGATGATCAAGGAGCTGCTCGATACGCGCATCCGTCCCACCGTCCAGGAAGATGGCGGCGACATCGTCTTCATGGGTTACGAGGGTGGAGTCGTCAAGCTTAAGATGCAGGGATCCTGCTCTTCCTGTCCCAGCTCCATTGTCACTTTAAAAAACGGCGTGCAAAATATGCTGCAGTTCTACATACCGGAGGTGGAGTCGGTGGAGCAGGTCTTCGACGACGCGGACCGGATGGTGGACAGCGAGTTTGAGCGCTTTGAGAAGAATCTCAAGACGCTCAAGCAGCAGGAGCCAACTAGCGGCGTTCCTAATTAGAAGGACTCATTGTCTTTTCTCCTGTTTGCGTTGCTATTTCTCTAGTTGTATACATAATGTACATGTAGTTGATTGTTTAAATAAATTTACGGCTTTAAGCTTAACTTGTAATGTATAACTTGTAAGATGCATTAGCGAGCTGTTTATTAAGTTAAGTAAATAACTCTTTCAGGTTCATAAACACTTTAACAGGGTAATAGCTTTAAAACTATTTTGATTTCAGGGCGGAAAGGGTCTTACTTAAAAGTTGTTTTTTCTTTAAGGGTTAATATGTATTGAACATACTGCCAAATTGCAGTATGTAACTTACACTGGGATGTCGCAGATCAGTGGCATTTTTGCCCAAAAAAGGCTTATTTAATAATTTCCAAACATGGTACACATCTATATAAAAAACAAGAGAAAATTACACAGCAACACAAAATGGACCTTTGTGAAATTTACAGAAACTATTTCAACTTGTCCATGGTCATCCCGAGTAAAAGCCCCACATAAACTTTATCCCCATCACCTACGGGTTCCGTGATATAGGTGAGAATTAAAAACCGATGTTTTTCAACATTTTGAATTATGTGGCCTTTATAATTGATCTTATCTAAAATTTCGCTGAAACACACTCCCATTCAATATGGCAAAACTAAAATAGAGCCCCATCTTAAACCATTGCCCGTTTGATAGGTGTACTAATGAAAATAGTTATTTTGTTAATTTCCTGATATCGTGTCGAAAAATGATTAAACATTCGACTAAATAAATCCTTTTTTAATTTCCTCATAAGAAAATGTCTGTGTAGGCGCTTAAATATATTTATACAGCAAAGAAATGTGTTTTTCACCTCGTCAAGAGGTGTTTTTGTTTAATCAATAATATCCTAGCGCTACAAGTTTGAGATAACTTATCAGCATCCTGAAAATGTTTGTATAAGACTCGCATTTTCCCTTTTTGGGATATTTGCTTAGCGGTGTGAAATATTTTCATAAGCTCTCTTTTCCATTGTGCATTTTACTTGTGAAGTTTTTACAGAGACGGTAGCACATTGATGTAACTTACTTCGCAGCTCACGTGCTTTTTGTGCAAAGTACAGAATTTCCCTGTCCTCTATTCAAAAAAGCTATGTTTTTCATACGGAATCGTTCGACTGGGTAGCCAAACAAGGGTGCAACTTCCTTGATCTTTCAAATAAAAACAACGTACAAATGTTCTATATTTACTATTACTTAGACAACAAAATCAAACAAGTGTGTTTATTGTTTCAATAATTTTTATTAAATATTAAATACTACATCTATACCCTCCCTTAACGGCTGCCTTGTTTTGAAAATTCGAATTATTGGGTAATTATACCCAACACTATTATATTAGTGTAATTTAACTCGTTCGCATGTTGAACGAAAACTAGGGTTTAAACGTAGGAAACCTACGGAAATTCAAAGTTTAATACCTAATTTTAGTTTAACAAGCGTAAGAGGAAATAGACCTTTAAAATAATGTTTCTTAATCTAGTTAACTAAAAAAATATGTTAGTAAGTAAATTGCAGTCTAAAATCATTTATAAATGATCGATATTCAAATATGGTGGACTCCTTTACTGCGGTGCATAATTCTGACATTATACCCTCTGCAAGGTTGTAAAATCTTCGATGTTGGTGAATCATTCATTAATTTTCAAACAAATAATTGATAAAATTAACATGGGCAAATCCTACGCTGACATCAGTGACATATCCCTCAACTTATAATCGACAAAAACTGGGGCTTATCATCAACATTTATCTATATTTTTTTTTTTAAAGAGAAAATGAGGTAAAGTGTTACCATTGATGTCATTTGTGACATGTGGAACTGCATGGAGATACCAATATATTGTAGTCCATATTTTTAGCACACCGAAATCTAAAAAGTGTATACTTTCATGAATGTTACTACTTTTCGTGTCATTACTTTTCGAATGCAACAGAAATACATACTCGTTAGATCCCGATTAATATAACGTAGTCTATTTTAACTAATCTCCATATAGTTATAAATTATAAATTCTGACCCAAAAGTCAATAAAAATTTTAAATACTCATCGCTCGGCAACCAATTTTTATCATAGTAAAGAAGCAAATCTAAAAACAGTTGCGCATTTGACTTTACGGCCAAAATTTTTGGAGATGGAGCCGTTAAGAGGGGCAAAGGTGTGTCTTGCAATCAATGTCTTAAGATGAAGTGTCGCTATACGAGAAGTTGGTTCCAAACAGAGTGTTGCACACTTCAACGGCCACGTTGCGGCGTGCGATTTTCTTCGATCTGCCGCTGGCGGTGAACTCCTGGTCGTCCACTACTATTCCCAGATGTTGCAGGACATTGGGCTTGTCGCCAGAGGCCCCGTGGTCAACGTAGATGAGTCCCGGACGCATCTACAACAGGATTTATTAGTGACTGTACGCAAAACTGTCGGTAAGCTAGCCTACAATGCATAGAATAGTGGCCGGGTGCATGGTCTCCCAGCCTGAGGGCAACTCGGTGCGCACTGGTGGCTTCTTTGGCTCCTTCGGCACCGCTGGAACAGGCGGTACGTTTTCCCCTCCGGCCGACGGAGCACCACTGGCCGATGGATGCATTTCTGGCACGACATAGCCCTCGCGCTCCCACTCTGCAAACAGCTTGTAAATAGCAAACGAGGCGAGATTTAGCATGGGAAGATCATCCTCCTGTGCATCACCCTCATCCTCGTTGGTTTCCATGGGCTCTGGTCCATTTTCAGAGTTAGAATTACGCGTCCTGTTCGGCTTGGGTGTCATCTTTGCAATGATAAAGTCGCGCCAAGCCTTCTCGCAAGCCGCGTTCTTGGCGGACATTTTGGAGAGACCCTTGCCCTCGTACTGGACCGCGCTTACAGTAACTACGGCCGTAAACCCTCCGTCGGGATTGCTTTCGATGGTGAAATCGCTTATGGTCACACCTTTTACTTCGTTAAGGGCCATTAAGGCGTTCTTCGGCAGCATGGACTTGCGCAGCTGACGGTTCTGGCGCTGCTTCTTGTCACGGGTGCGTTCTACAAAAGGGGAAATGGGGAAACGTAACATTAACTTGTTTTTTAATGACATTGCTTATCCCGTTGATTGCTTATCATGAGAAGTTTCAAAAATCAAATAAGAAATGCTATTTTAACAAGTGTCATCCAGGGCTGCAAGCAAATAGGAAAATATTTTTACAACAAAGCCTTAAGGATTCGCAAGTAATTCATAAGGATGGCAAATTTCACACCTCGAGTTCAGCAAAATATCAAAAGGTATTGCATATTTACATTTAGCTTATTGGTTTTGTCCGCTTACCAGACGACTTCTTGCGCTTCTGAAAGATCTTCTTGAAGGGGATCTTGCCCCCCATGCCGGAGCCGGAGCCGGAGACGGTGCCGGTGCCGGCGCCGCTGCCGTTCTCCTCGCTGACGTCGACGGGGAGATCGTCGTTGGGAACCGCTTCCTCGATAACGACCTCTTTCGGCTCCTCCTTGACTATGATTGGCATAGGCAATTTGGCTGCGATGTCGGCCGCATCCTGCGAGGCCGCCACTGGAGCCGAAACTGAGGCAGGAGCCGGTGGCGATTGATCAGCCACCGGAGGGGACTGCTGCTCCTGGTCATTAGAGGCCTGCAACGGCTGTTGGATCAAAGGCTTGGCGATAGCATTGGGATTCTGCGTTTGCAAAAGAGTTTCATTAGTTGATTAGTTAAGGCAGGGAACTTGTTTTCTTCGTGATGTTCCCCTGGATAAAATCACTTGCAGCGGGCTAATCCTGTGGGTCAACAAAAAAGGAGACTCGCTGGCCGACGGAAACCATCAGGTCGTCAGGTAACCCGGAAGCGTCAGGCTGGTCGGCTGGTCTACTAAAAACCATAGTTCAGGAACTAGCCATGGCCATTCCTGCGACCCGAGTATCCCGAAACGAAGCTCTGCGCCGGCGGAGCCACGTGCCCAGCTAGTGTGGATTCTCCGGTCATAGGATACAGCCAAGGACTTGGACAATTTTACTGTGCAACCACAATTCACCTTGTTCGTGCATAGTAAGTCCCTACTTCTCTGTTGAATTTTGGGAACTACTTTTCGAATAATATTTTACAGATATTACTTTTGTCAGGGAACTGGTAAACATTTTTAATTTTGTTTAATTTTAATATTTTTTACTTTATGACCAGGATAATTGAATAGAATTTTGAAGATTAAAGTCTTACAAAAATACTTCGACAATAAAATAAAAAGTAGAATTTTTAAATATTAAAATAGTTTAAAAATATCGCCGGGAAACATTTTATCAAACTGGTAAATAAAACATCACCCGGCTGAGCACAGAGAAATTTTGGGGACTGCATCCTTCAGTCCTTGGCTAAGTTCTTTATCGGCGTCTCGTTTCGGGCACTTTCGGTGGAGTGAATGGGCATTGCTATCTGACGCAAAACTAATAATTTTAGTTACAATTTCGGGTGAATGCATTTTCAGTAGCCATAAAAGTTAGCGATAACCGCAAGTCCAGCTTGAAACTATCGCAGTGCTGGTCATATCTAGTTGTTCGAAAGCACGAGCAGAATGGAGTGGCAGACGAGGATGGATGAATATGAATGGAATGGGGAGGTGGAATGTGAGTGGAGTGTGAGTGGAATGTGGGTGGGGAGCCTAGAGGAGTGGGGATGCATTGTGGACCGTGACTTGTGGATGCTGGTGGAATTCGGACAACGTCTGCACTTTCGATTAACCCGCTTTTAGTGGCTATTGCAAATGGATTCACAATTGGGGTGAATACACACACTTTCATTTTGTGCGCTGCAAATTATAGAAACGAAAACGAAATCTCTGTTATTTCATATGTCAAATATGCAGGAGTCAATCAGAATGGTTTTTGTTGTTTTTTCTCATTTCTGTTCACTTGGGGTACACATTATCGTGACGTCACAGGGCACTCAATACATACACAAACTGGCAAAAAAACCAATCGATTCGAATGGAGGCGATTTTTGGTTTGAAAATAAAAGAAAGGCAATGGAAAATAGTTGGATTCTTACATAAATTCCGCCGGAGACGAATGGTTTGTTGGTGGCAGCAGTTGGTCGACGAGTTCGCTTCATTTTTTTTCTTCAAAAGATTCCGTCACACGGTTGTAAGTGATTCCCCAGTGAAAACTTTTCCAGAGTGACGGAAAATCGGAGCTACAAAAAGACAGTTCATGAAATATGTACTAAAAATTACCACGAAATAATCATGTTTACTAAGATTGAGCATTTTTGTGCCCGTCAAAATAGCGACGTCGATAAAGCCTACTCAGATCGATGTCCGTCAAATTAGCGTCGGCCTGTTAGCAACGAAAGTGGAACGGTGGAATTTGGAACATGGGGGCTCTTTTTATTTTTAAATTTTCTCGCTTTTTGGGGACCAAATCGAAAAATCTAAAATGCTAGATTGTTAAGAAAGAAAAGATCTATCGATCTAGGTAGGTTTGAGACACATCCGAGGTCTATTAATGTTTCAAAAATGCATTTGAAAAATCGTGTCCCCACAATTTTGTTAACTGCTCCCCTCACAGAGGTTGTGCCAATATGCACGATAAACCAAGCTATTAAGGGTTAATTCAAGCTCCTTGTCTGAAAGTTTCATCAAAATCAAACCCACAGTTTTCGATAAAATAGCCTAACAGTACCGCAACCTCGGATTTTCCCCATACAAAAAAGGGGGGCAAAAATGAAATTACCTACTGCTCCACTCCTAGAGGTTGTGCCAACATGCACGGTATATGGGTAGATAGGGGATAATCTAGGGACTGTTCTGTGAAAGTTTTATCAAAAACAAACCCACAGATTTTGAAAAAATTGCTTAACAGTTGGGGGTGTTAAAAAGGTTATTAAAAGGCCGTTTAATCCAGAAACGGAACCATTGGATACTAAGACATAAACCACAATGTAAACAGCTTAGCCATGACAATCATTCGACGCTAACTTTCTATAACTTTATACAGCTCTCACAGAGGTTGTGCCAACTTGCACGGTATCGCACTCGAAGGGGCATCATTAAAGCTAATTTCTAAATAAAATTCAGGCAATTCAAACCCACAGTTTTCGAGAAATTCAAGTATTTTCAATTATGGCTTTTGCCACGCGGTCACACTGTCCAGACCAACGAGAAAGCAAATTCAGCCAAGACATTTACCACGAAAAGGTATTTATCGATATATCGCCAAGTGCCAAGCAACGACCTACAACACTTAATTGAGCCAATCGAATACTTTTGGCCGCCAAGTATTGAAAAATATATATTTTATGTTTCAAATTTTCATTGTGATATGTATGCACCCCCTAATTGGTATTTATTTCCCTATTATTTTAATGTATAATTCATCGAAATCGAGCCAGTGGTTTGGTAGAATTTAACATTTTATTGATTTAAGAAAAATATAAAAATTACCTATTTGCTATTGTGGAGTTGCCATACTGCCGAACAGAATCCCCGTTACTTTGAATTAGAAGCTCGTGCAGAGAAGTAAAGTGAAAAGAAAATAAAAGCTGAAATTTATAATAAAACTTAAAACATAGATACATCATGTGTAATTTATTCGTATTAAAACTATTTTGCTGCTCGCTAATGCGATTAGTGTGAGTGCTGGCAGCGCGGTTGCCAAACGATTTAAAAATCGCTTAACAGACAACACATCCGCGGCCCAGCTTCATCGCGCCCAACATCCCAGCTTCCACAAAGTGCATATCGATTTCCTTCTGTGTCGACATGTTGATGTCCCAGTGCCACAGAGAGTCTGCTGCATCATTTCTAAGTCTCCTCCGGCTTTTGTTTGAGTTTCGATTCGTGACTTCTCCATCCTGGTTGAAAGTAAATCCGCTCGACACAAAAGGAGCGCGCAGAAGCACACGGAGCATAGCTGGTACAGCGAGGAGCACTCTTCAACTTCCTCCCTCCCCGGCATCGCTATCTTCGTTATCCTTATTATTAACCGGCATACGCGCGGAAACATCGTCCACCCCGAGTAAGCAATGTTGGCGCCTGGAAACACTCAAGTGCAATATTTGGCAACAATAACTTAATGTCTACATAAGGTTTTTTCGGATCGTGACTGCAACTCCAGTGGCGGCTTATCAATGTTTAACCAGAGCTGCATAACAGGCGCAGAGCTACAGCAATAAGCCCCGGAGGAGATACTGCTGAGAAGACTTGGATATTTTTGAGAAAACATTTTTTTATTGGACGGAAGAGGCGAGCCCCAAGTGGTATGCATAGCCGAGCACATCGGGCAGGTGCTGAAATCCCATTCTCCCCCAACTAACATTCCGGGGATATGGCGACAAATCCGCTCTTAATTAATTAACATTTGACTTTGTGTACCGCCATGTGAGCTAATTAGAGGTCGCGACCCCCCGCATGGCGACCCCAATTAGTCGCCCCATTCGATTAAACCCGAGTGCGCTTCGGCTGCTTTCCGGAATGGTGTCATACCTGCCATAAAGCATGTCTGCCAGCCGTCAAAGGCGCCGTGTCAACACGACCATTGCACTTCTGCTCCGGCGGGACCAAGATGACATTGCATCACCACCATCGATTCCAGTGGGTCAACAGCCGTCCCGGTGACGGGGTTGCCATCCCCCCGACCCAGGGCTTAGTTCGGTGCGTGTGATTAAACAATTGCATGGCCGGGTGGGAAGCCCTATTTGCCTTTCGGAAAAGAAATTCCTGGAACGGCCCTTATTAAATTGCTCAACCTAAAAGTTTTGAATTTCTCACACGGACACCCTACAACAATTTGGCTCTCAAGTGGCGGCAATGTGACAAGTGGGGGTATTATTTCAAGTGCAGTGGCGTTCATGACTGGGACCCCGGGTGGAGCGGACGCGTCCGCAAAACATTACTCAAATCGCCCCTAATGGTGGTGTATTTATATTTCGGGGCACGGAGGCCAGCTGACCGACTCATGGACGCGCAACAATTCCATTTACAAATTATAGCTTCGGTGTTTTATAACATATAACCTCCTAAGCTTGGAAATAATTTTTATTTATTTATTTACAATCTGGTTTTGGGACAATTGCAAATTGCCACCAACCACTTAATTTAGCTATAGCTACTGGGCCTTAAGCTATTTACATATTTTCTGCAAAAGTTTATTTATATATAGTTATTAACAAAATTTAGATATTGTTATATAAGCGTATGGCCTTGATGAAATCATTGGCGCTGGCGCCAATTGGTGGATTTTGGGGATAGGGCATCAGGTGACTTTATGGAGAGGAGAAAGTGCCGCACGTTGTTTCGCGTACCGCAGTGCTCGCACTGGGGTGGGGGTTGTTTATTGAGAACATGCTCATGGGTGTATCTTGAGTGTCCAAAACGTAGTCTTAAGAATTTTGTGAGATCTCTGCGGTTGATGTTGTCTTCGGATGGGATGGTGTATTCTTTAATTGATCATTTCTTTTCGTTGACATATTTGTAGTGGTCAGATGCGTTTTATCAGATCGATTCCATTTGTTTTTTGAAAGTATTTTAAATGAATAACTGTGTGTCTGTGAAGTTATAGTTGCATTCCATAACCTGTGGGCTTCTTTTGTTGTGAGCTTCTTTTGCTGCTAGGTCTGATGTGTCGTTACCTGGAATCCACAGTAATATAATCTTTGGTTGGTGGCGGTTGAGGATGTCTCGAGTACGAACGGTATAGAAAGACGGCACAAGTGAAGAACAAGTGACGCTCCATATAGTAAATTGTATGGGATGTCCGCATTTTCACAAGTGAAAATTCAAATGAAAATTTTTCGAAGTCCCACGGGATTTTACTTGTTCCTTTTTTTTCGGCCAAAGAGCTAGTGGGATGGCTCTGAGGGCGCCGAGCTGAAGGCTACCGAACGGGTCGCAGGTTGCGGATAGCGAGCGCCCTGGTTCTCCAGGGTAGCTACGAATAAGCGTGGAAGTTGGACACGGCCCGGCTACCACCAAGCCCCCAACACGAAGCGCAAATAAGTAGCCCCGGACAGTCAGCGGGTATCTGCGCCGTAGCAGTACCGACGTCGCGCTTGTGCTGCCGCCTCCGACAAATAGCTCACACACACCCCTGCCCACACGCTCTGTACCTACCTCTTCCCTACCCACACAACTCATCTCACCCCGGGCTGGACTAAGGTGTCACTCGTACCGTGCCGAGAGTCAATCTGGCTGGGAGCCCGAGTCATCAAACAACTCAGTCTCAAACGGTGAGCTCAGGCAAGTGGCGACCGCCTGTTCTAATTCAGCCTTACCCGGGTACGGCGGATCTCTGCCCGGGTAGACCTGTCCTTTCTCCGCAGCTCGTGGGAATTAACATGAAGAATTTAACAAATATAAAACTAAAAGACTGCACAAGACAAGAGCCCGACACTCTTATAAAGTCGGAAGTCGTAACCAACGACGAAAGAAAGAGCAAGATCACGGCTCTGACTACCCCAGTCCACGTGACGTCCACCCCTGCCAAGGCCAGCGAACAACGCAGCCGGCTAAGCCCAACTCGCCATAGCGACAAGCCCAAGCCTCCCACCAGCGTATGTGTGGCTAACAAGCCACTCCAACCTGAGGGTAGCGCTAAGGCCGGTCTCGTGGTGAGTACCAGGGCAAAGGAGTTTAAAAGGGTACCACCTAACCAGGCAGGACCTCTTGAAAGAAGGAAGGCTTCTAGGATCCTCAAACGGCTGGCCACCAATCCGATACGGGAGGATCAGACATCGAAATTGGATTACCTGAAAATCCAAGAGGACATAGCCTGGGCAAAGGCAATTATCCTTCGACTTCGACATCGCTATGACCACCACCCACAGCAACAAGCGAGAGAGGTTGATGCAGTCAGCTCAACCAGCGAGCAAGAAGGCTAAGGTAACCAACCGCGGCACATGGTCGAGATCCTTTGCGGAAGTGGTAAAGGATCGGAAGATCATTGGTGTCATCGACCAGAGCGTTGAAGGCGGAAGGATCCCAAGAAACCAATGGGGTCTGGTTAGACGGGCCCTTGCATCAGTGGCCTTGAAAGTGCTGGACGAAAACCCAGGCCCGCCACCCGATTGCACAGATGCAGGGTGGTACCAGGGCAATGTAATGCAGAACAGTCAAAACAAAGAACAAACCCCCATTGTGGAACCCAACCCTAGCGAAACTTAAAAGAGAGTGTAGAACTTACTTCAATAAAGCTAAATACAA